TCAAACGAGCATGAATTTCCACAGAGTGCCGGGACGTTCCAGTTGTCAGCCACCGGAGTAGTGATTTGGTGCCTCATCAGAGTTGACCATCCGTTGCTTCCATTCTCGGCAGGGACGGCAGAGAGGTTGAGGTTGGGTACGGGAACGTCACTGGTAATGTCGCGGGGTCCAACGCTCAGAGCGTTTGGTGCAAACATGCTCACAAAGGCAAGCAGGTTGTACACCACGGCGAGGAAGACGAGAATGATCCAGGTGAATTTCCAGCGTCTCTTCATAAATGCAAAGATGCTCGTTCCAGAGGGGAGTGCAAAGAGGTCGCTCGTGACTTCGCTATCCGTCTTGCCAGCCCTGATCGCTTTCCAGACCTACAATCATCAGAAAAAACACTTCAAGAAATCTATACACTTACTCCTTCGGTGATGCAGAGGGTGACGGCAAAGCCCAAGGTGATAGAGACTGCTTGAGAAAAGGCATTGCTCAGGTTCTTGACCCAGAATTGAGAATAAAGCAAGACGTCCTTTTGATGAATAGAAGCGAGGAACAAGTGATGTCCCAGCGCAAAGATGGCACCAGTAATATACGCCAACAAAATCCAGAGATTGATCCAGCACCTTGTCTTGTGTGAGCGGCGAGCTTTGGAAGGCTTGGGCTTGACAAAGACCCCTTGACTGGCAGAAGAAGGGAGCCTGTGTTGATACATTTCATAAGGGACAGCGGGAGTGGTTCCGTGGCCGAGTTGGGAAGGAGCGGACCGTGCGCTCTCCATACTTTGGCGGGTGGGAGGTTCTTCACATGTGGGATCGAGGGTCCTGGTGCGCTTTGGAGGATTGGGCCTCGAAGGTGCGAGGTCGATGCTCTCCATGCTGATAGTTCGACCATGCTTGACAGGAGCAACAGCTGGTTTGGTAGGAATGTTCTTGGTCTCTACAGGAGGTTCACGCTCAAAGGCGAATGGTACATAGCGTGGTTGATCGGAGGGGAGTTCTGCGTTAGGCTTGCTGGTAGGCTGTGGCTCGCAATGCTCTTCAAAGGGAGACTTGACACTGTCGATGCTGTATCCGCGAACGGGAGGGTCATTGACTGGGACGGGGCTTCGGGAGACGCGTCTATCCGATTTGTTGCCATAGGCGGTACCAGCTTGTGCGTGGTCCAGCTCAGAAGGAGCGCTATGAATACTGTCTGATTTCTCGTGACATGGTTCAGGTGGAACGACACTCGTCGCCGAACGTTGAGGGGTACGCCTGCCATATACGTCCTATTCAGAGTAAGGTCAAGTCAACTTACGGGGTTATAAAACTTACCTTGGAATCAGCGACAGGCACGAGGCTCTGTCTCTTGGAAGGAGGACGAGAAGTGGCGACCGGGACACCTTGAGCGTGGTCGAGCTCTGAAGGAGCAGATTCGGCACTGTCTGTGCTATCACGTCGGGGAACGTTTCGATTGGTAGCATCATCGACCGTATTGGACCGGTGAATGCCAAATCCGCCACGCCTGTTGGTAGAATAGCTATCGTCGGCTGCTGCATCGGTCTTGGGAGCATTCACGCTTGTGCGCTTATAGGGATTCTTGGATCCTGGTGCGACATCTGGGACGTGGTCCAAATCAGAGGGCGCAGAATCGGGGCTCTCGCTGCGAACAGGATACGAACGTCCTTGAGTAGGTGTGGCTGTAGCCGAGCGCTGAGGAGTGTTGCTTCGTGGGGTCGGGGCAATGTAGCTCGACCTCTTGGAAGGTGGTTGGGCACCAAGCGTACTTTGCCTCTTGGTTGGCTTGGGGACCGCGTCGGGAATGTGGTCCAGGTCTGAAGGTGCAGACTCGGCACTACCGCTGCGAGTATGGTGGGGGCGCTCTTTGGTGGGAGTAGCCGTAGCGGAACGGTGAGGAGTGGTGCACTCTGGAGGAGCAATGTAGCTGGATCTCTTGACCGGGGCCTTGGTGCTGGTCGTGCTTTGCCTCTTGGATGGGACGACCACATCTTGGACGTGTTCTCCGAGTTCAGAAGGTGCTGATTCGACACTGTCACGGCGAGAACGTTCGGATAGATTGACACAACTCGAGTTGTTTGCTTTGGTTATATCGGTCGAGACGATCTCTTCGGGTGCGGACTCGGTGCTGACGCGGCGAGAACGTCCTTGTGAAGTCGAGACGACGTTGGTGGTGGATCGATTGGCACCATGGCTATCAACACTAGTGGTAGTAACCACACTTGTCGTACTCTTCATTCCCGAAACATTTTTCGTCACAAAGAGATTGCCGTTTTGGCCTCCCTTGGAAACGACGACCGAGTTCTCTTCATGTTCAGATGGTGCCGATTCACTGTCTAGACGTGTGCGTGTTTGCGTGGAGACGAGGTCGGTGGTGGAGCAGTGTGCACCACCCTCACCGGAAATGACAGCCGAGTTATTCGCCTGAGAAGACGATCCTTTCACGACCACGCGTGAAGTTTGAGAAGTCACGGATACGAGACTGCGAGAAGAGGTAGAAAAGACTTGTTTCTTCATAATCGAATTGCCGGCAGGGGCGTCGCCGCCTGAAACGACGACCGAATATCGTGTAGAACTAGTGTGCGAAGGCGCAAGAGACTTGGTTTCGACACGGGAAGAAGTGGTAGAGACGGTGTGCTTGCGGATGAATCCGTCTGGGAGTGCGGCATTGTTGTTTTCGTCGTGGACGAGGTTGGCGACGCTGGTGGACGTGACAGACTGTGCCTTCCCCGCGGGTGAGTATGGGACAGCGAGGGAGACGACGGAGCGTTGACCCTCGTGGGCGTTATCTACAAAGGAGGTCGTGGACGACCATCCGTATATTCCATTCGAGATTGCGGCATTGTTTGCGAGTTGGGCAGAGAGGACCGAAGCACCACTTTGTCCACTAAAGGTTCGACTGCGTATCGATTGGATATCTTGCTGGAGATCGTGTATAGAACTAGCATTGTCGCCTTCGACGTGGGTTACGATGACACTGCGAGGGAGAGAGGTGGTGGATTGCGTGACGGTTTTCACGATTCTCCGGGAGGGTGAGCTGGTAGTATTAGCGATGACAGTAGTTGGTTGTTTAGAGGGAAAAGAGAGTTGGGAAGGAGAGTCGTCCGTGCTGATGGTATAGCCTGCAGTACGGACGGCCTCTTCGACATCGATAGGAATGCCAGAGCTGCTGCTCTGTGCCATTGTGGGGTTAACGTTAACGAGCGTGGAGGAGTTGGGGGATGCGTAAAGAGCGTAGTATTTAGAGGCGGTCACGTCCAAGGTTTGTACTGGAGGAGGACCGCCGCTGGATCAATTTTTTTGGGCGGAGATTGGCATCGTCCGTCGCGCCGGCTGTCGAGACCCGGCCGCCTCTATGCGAGTACTCTATTCCAAAGCTAGAACTTGCTTAGATAAGCAACACACTCTGCTGCCAACGTCAATGGCCCTTCCCAAGCATCGTGCCTCGATTATTCCCTTTTCGATCCCAACGACGCCCCGAATAGTAGGAGATAGTGAAAAGTCGGCAGTTTTGTCGGATAGAGCAAGCCGTATGGAGTTTTAGACAGCCTATGCTGGTTGATGTCTCCGGCGCTGCGTCTCTTGCCGAGTCTTCCAGAAGCCATTTGTGATTTTAGACGAGAGTTAGAAGTAAGCATCTTGTGCTCGATTCTCGGGATTATGTTCATCATGTTATTCCAGTACTCCTCTCCTAAATGATATCCTGTCAGCACATTAAAACGTCGCCGCTGACGGATAGGTCCGTCTGACTCTAACCCTGCCGTATTCACGCGCACGAAAATGGCTTCAAGCATACTCCATTTCAGTTGAAAACCAATATCGCGTGAGCAATCCCCCTTTGGTTCCTCAATCATCGACACTGGTGCCTTCCTTCCGGCATCAATGAATGCATTCAACACCAAGCCATCTCGACATTTAAACTAGTGGCCGGTTTTTCGGACTCTCCGTTAACAAAACCCATGCCGAGCGGGCTTTTGTTCTAGCCATGGCGAGTCCAGTCTCCCCTCCGACCCTCGGATTCGTCCAACAGTCATCAACATCCATAGACGAAAAGGAGGACAAGAGATCTGGTCAGAATGAAGAACGCCCTCTTCACTCGAGCAAAGCCAGATTTTGGGTCAATGTTATTATCATCTCCGCCTATACCGTTGCCGTGATACTCGCCATTGTCCATCATGTATTCCTAGCAAACCTCCACCAACGGGATGCCGCTCATTATTCAACGGATACACGAGCATGGTTCGGCCGTGCGAGCAACTTTTTGAGTAAAATCATTGCTACATGTCTCGGTGCGGTAGCGGCCACAGCGCTCATTCAAGGAGTGAGTTTCTTTCACATCGATAGCTCATGTCTCTGACTGCTAAAAGATATGGAATGTCATCACATCCGATTACACTCCTGTTGCCGTCGTCGATGACCTGTTTTCTCTCCCTTCACCCGTCGCCCTCGTCTCGCTACTATACAAATATCCCAAGCTCAGGCTATTCCCATTAATTGGAATCACGATACTCATCCAAGCACTAGTGCTTGTGAGCGTATTAGCACCAGGCGCATTGTTAACCGATGCGAGCCGAGTCGACCGCAACATCACGATCCCAAAACTGGACCTTACCTCTCTGCCAATGTATGATGATGTCATGTGGTGGCAAGAGACAGTACGGTACTATATGATGAATGATCCAGTTGCCCGTTGGGACGTCCCCGCAGACTGTGGTGCCAGTTGCAGATTCCAAATAACGTATTCGGCCCCCGGCATATCTTGTCGCAAAATGTCTGGGGAGGAGACAGGTCTGAATCCATTCGATCAGCAGTTGTTCGAAGAGGGTGTACCTTGGTGTGCATACTTCTCGGCTACAGACCAAGAATTGATTTGGGGTACCAACACTATGCCCCTCAACATCAGCTACGTCCCTATGGTCGCTCAACTTTCCAATAAACAACTCGTCTACGTGAACCAGACGAGCTCTAGTCAAGGCCAGCTATGTCAATGGCAGGACAAGACGTTCCGAGCAGACTTTACCTTCAAGAACAACCGAAAAACAGTGGACGTGAAGACCATCTCTAACACCAACGACGTAGCTCAGCGCTGCCCCTGGACAAGTGGAGGTAGCCTGTCCCGCGAATGTAGCCAGTACATGGGTGCGGCCCTGGACCTTGGTTATGCATATACCATGGGATTTTCTGGCGCATTGGGCTGGACCAAAAATGAAACACTAGACTATTGGGAACAGGCTATAGTTTCACAGTTTGTCGACTACAAATACGATACCGAGGCTCAGACCATTTCTTTAACTCCTTTCTCGAACGCAAGTCAGGGAGTAGAGCACAATTTTGCCAAGGCCGTGCTTGGGACTCTGCTTTGGTTCAACCAAACAAACTCGGCAGTCATAGCAGTCGAAGTGGGAAGCGCTTGGATATACAAACCGCTGATGCTATGGGCTATCTATGGCTCGGCATTACTCCTTTCCCTTATCGCCGGGCTTTACGGGTTGCACCTGGCACGTCTTGGTGAAATTGTGCGGGAGAAGAAATTCTCTAGTTTCCTCATCGCAACCCGAACAAGAGACTTAGATGCCGTGTGCGCACAGCATTCTGATGTGGTCATGTCTACAAAGCTTCGCCACGATGCGTCGACGGGCCACTTTCACGTCCTGAATGAGGAACAGGATGAAAAAACAGAAGCTAATCCAGGTCAGTATCTTGTCATTCTAATATGACACAAAGCTGATGAGATGGGATAGCTTCTCAAACAGTTGCACTCGACGAAGCCACGACACACACCTGGACGCGCTCTATCATCATCGTCTCTTTTCTTCTTGCAATTATATTTGCATTGGTTCACCACTTCTTCCTGCATGCCATGCGCAACCACAATGCGGACGCGTATCCTCAATATTGGATCAAGGGTGCAAGCAATGCGTTCTCTCAGGCTGTATCGATTTGTCTGGGAACAGCTGCTGCCTATTCCTTGACTCAGGCGGTAAGTAACGCAATGTTGCATGAAAATTACTAATGTTATATAGAGTTGGCGTGCCCTCAAGCTACATGGCGGATCTGTAGAAACGATCGACAACTTTTTCGGTCTCCCATCACCACTATCTGTCGCCTCTCTTTTCAAAAATGTCCGTAAAATACAAATCACATATTTGATCATGATCGCTGTAGTGATTCAAGCGCTCGGTCTCGTCACGACATTTGCTCCCAGTGCATTGACAGTTGGATCTTTTCCACCGAGGTCGGCCCAACTCTCGGCCCCCGCCTTGGACCTGTCTACGGAATACTATGCTGCATCTCAACGTTACCTTGGTATATGGAATAATCTGATCGCGCGACTCGAGGAAAACCCTCCAGAAGCCTACTGGTCGGTTCCTTCGGGTTGTGGAGACTCTTGCTCGTTCAAAGTTCGATACGAAGCGCCAGCCCTGTCATGTCGCGATCTCACCTCCGACGAATATACCATCAGGCCGTATGGTACCAACTCCTCTGATGGATTCTGGAGATTTTATGATTTCAATATTACGAAGCTATTTCAAGAAACGAAGTGGACCAAAAACAACCCTACATTCGTATATAATTTCATCCCATTATCCTATAATCGCAATCAACCCCACACGATATCGACCAGTCCACCGACCGGTTCAATCTGCCAATGTAGGGATGGAACATACGAGGCAGACTTCAAATACGCCAACAATACTGTCACTTTGAATACAAACCTCCTTTCGTACAGCAACTCATTTACGAGCAATTGTACGGAAGCCGATTCTGGGGTGGCATCAGACCGTTGCCAGACCTACAAAGACAATGCCTTCGCGATCTGTCAAAATTTTACGATACCGCTTCAAGGTTTCAAAGAAATCCACTTGGAGACAGGTGCCCCACCTGGTAATCTCTACAATTCGGTCGTCTACCAGAGGCTGTTCAACGTCAGCTTTAATTTTTCCGGAGATGGGAGTGTATACTTTCAGCCAAAGTTTACCAATCTGAGCGAGACGCTACCTGCGCTGTTCTCCAATGTTACGACCAGTCTCATACCAGAGTTGGGTGGGACGACCTCGCTATCTGTAGAGGTGGAGGACAATACGCGAATATGGGAATACGATCCAAAAGCACTCTTTGCAGCGTATGCACCAGCACTCGCAGCGGTGCTCCTTGTTGGAGCGTATGGGTTGTATTGCATTCATGCGAACGGAAGAGCGATGGATAGCAAATTTTCGACATTGCTGCTCACAACACGAAGTGGGGCACTGGATGGTGTTTATGACACGGCTGACAATTTTGACGCGCTCCTGGAGAAGAAGCTTGTGTACGCAAAGCGAGGATGCTTTGTGCCAGAAAATCGAGAGCCATCCCAAGATCTGGGCAAGGAACCGTGATTCGGTTGTCGGCACTCCTATACTTGTCTGTCTAGTATTGTTTATTTTGGTATTTTTTGGTATTGTTGGTAATCATGTTTCTTGTCCAGTCTTGTTCAATTCGTCAGGGTTTACGTCTCTGTAGAGCTCCGTGTTCTTAGCAAAGCATCTAAATTAATGTTTCAAGCGAGAATACAAATGTGTTAGATCTACCTGAGGTATATGCATACAAATCACGAGGCCGTCACTTTCTTTTACTCCTGCCCGCAACGTTCTTCGCTTTTTGCTCATTTAGGCGTTGCTGAATTCGTTCAAACACTGCATCGTCGAGCTCTGGTGTTTTGCGGTTCTTCTTGCTCGGGATCTCCTCTTCCTCATCGCTTTCTCGTGAGCGCTTCTTCCGACCCTTGCCACCTTTTGACTTTGTTGCACGGCCAGAGTCGACTTCCATAGGATCCTCATCAAGCACCCCATATTTTGCTGCCAAGTTGTCCAAAAAGCTACCAGTCGACCGGTTGGCAGCTCGTTTCTGGATGAGCGCCTGTAGGTTGGACGTGTCATCTCCCTTGCTCTTTTTTTCGGATCCGCGTTTGCCCTTGGCACCGGAACCGTAAAACTCGTCCCAGACACCGAGCTCTTTGGCGGTTTCCTCCGCTTCGGCTGCCTCTTGTTCTCCCTGTTTCTTGCGGGCTTGTTTTGCCTTTTCGTCCTTGAGGTCTGCTTCCCATTGAGGAAGAGATGTGATGACTTTTGACTTGATCAACTTTTTGACCAGCTTGATGATACGCGGTTCATCGTCGTAAGTTGAATGGGGTATGTGAGCCATGATATGTTCAATAGAGCCTTCACCCTCAATATAAGCGTCTCGAATATCATCGAGCTCTTCTTGTGAGCCTGTAGTGTGTGAGGACAAGGCGTGAACAGAGTTGAGGAGAACTACCTTGATATTCCTTTTTCAATTCGTCCAAGCGTTTTCTTGTCACTTCTTCAAACATGGCTTCAAAATAAGCTTCCCATCCTCCTTCGTCGCCCTCGCCAGGTCCAAAGCCCAGCCCGTTCTCTTCGTCTGTTCGGCCCGTTTCATCGTACCGCTTTCTCCTCTTCTCGTCACTAAGAACGGCATACGCATATCCTACTTGCTGAAACTTTGTCGACGCGTCCTGCTTTACAGTCTCGGACGAAGCAGAATGTTTGTCTGGATGATACAAGAGCGCGAGCTTTCGGTATGTTTTCTTAATGTTATCGACGCTGTCATCTGATTTTACACCCAAAAATGCATAGAGGTCTACCTCCTCCTGGTCGGGAAATAGCTGAAACACGGGATCGTCGTCCATGTCGTAGTCAGAGTCAAGAGCGTGTTGGCGGCGCTTGAATTCGTGATCGTCACTGCCACTTGATGGACGCTGAGCTCTATCGAGTCATCAGCCAACGAATAATTATTTACATATTTAAAGACCGGATTTTGGTGGAGGATGAATTGGTAATCCCCGCAAACCCTCCTTCGACTCGACCTTCTCTTTCATATCCCGCTCTCCTTCACTATGTCTACCGATCAAGATTTCGCGCAGTGCGCTGAACTTCGTCACGATGAGTGGACTGTTCTGAGCGTGCGTTACATATTTTGGCGAAATTTTCTGAACGAAACTCACCTCTCATGACTAATGCAGTCAGTCTATCCCGAGTATACGACTCGCTGTGAAGGCCCTCAGCTCGATCAAACCTCTCCTGTAACTATCAGGCTAGAAGTTCCAGTGGACTTTGATGGGGAGCGGGATGTGGAAGTTGTTCTAGAGGACACTCCCTCCGGTGCTTTCGCTGAATCATCCCACCAACCATCAGTAACCCTCAACATCTCAAATTTACCGCCTCTTCTC